CAGCGCGTTTCAAACCCCAAACTCCAGGCAGTAACCTTACTTTAACTCCCTTTCACCAAAGCCACGAAGCCCGCAACCCGCAACCCTCCGCAAGCACCTCCACAGTGCATGGTCCTTGAGTCGTAGAGGACCAGATCCCCGCGTTCGAGGGTCATCTTCCGATGATCAACCTGGAACGCCTGCAGCGGTTGGGCTAGAGGGCTGTATCTCGGTACCAGGGGCTTTTCACGGAACTTTCACGGAAACGACTTTCGAGGGCTTGAGGCTCCCGACGCGCTTGAGGCAGCAGAAAGAAACTCGATAACCATCCTGATCTGCTGAAGAGTTCCGTGACTTCCCATCTCCCTTGGTGCTAACGCCATGTGAAGACGGAGCAGCCTGAGCCTCAAACGTTTGAAGCTATCTGTCCAACTACTGTATCATTCAGGAGTTCCCTTCCATGGCCTTGTCAGCATCTCGCACGGACAGCTTGCCAGTGATGTGTGATCCTCCGAGAAGTGGGAGGTGCACACAGTTCTGATGAGCATGTGCTCTTCTCTTCTCTCTTTCGAAACTTTTAAAACCTTATAGTAAGCTTTTTATAGTAACCTTATGTTCAGATTGTCATAATGAGCCTATAGTACCCCTGCAACAACGAAGCAAACCCTCCGGGCGCACCCCAAAGCGTGGCGTGATGCTCCACGGTGTTGGTGCCAGGCCAGACGTGGGTCGGACCCATGCTCTCATCCACGTCCTTCGAAGAGAGACGACAAACAAGACGAGACAGTATACTGTGACGTACTTTGAGACACTGTACTGTACCATGATATTTTATAGCATACGATCATATACTCATATGCTATTATAACATACCATACCTGTAACGTAAGAGCTAGCTGTCAAGGGACTAAAGGGAGACCTGCCTGCAGTGCCAGAAGGGAAGTGAAGATGAGTGCCGTATCTGTGGCCACGGCTTGCACCTCAAACGGCAAGGCAATTTGCAGCGTACCGGGTCTTTATTCGAGGCAGAGCTCCATGCAGACAGAAGTCAGCTTAAGCAGGGGGGGCCCAAGTCCTACACAATCTTTCTGCAGGCGGGGAAGAGGGCAGCCATTTCTTGAAGCGCAGGCCCTTGGCCTCGGCATTCTGAAGAGCACAGGCCCAATTTCAGCTTGAGACAACGAAAAAAATGAAAATCAATGAACCCGCTGCTTATCTCACGCCTTCGCCGATCGTTCTCACTCTCTGAAGAGAATCATGAACCCTGACCCTGATCTGAATGTTTGAAGCTTGCATTCGCCATTAGTGCTCGCTTGATGCTGCCCCGCAACCACCCGGCCGAGGTCATCGGCAGCATCCTCGTCCTGACTTCAGCATCGGCAGTGCTGCAAGGGGTTGTGCGTGAACGCTTCAGCTTCGAGCTAAGGTTCGTGGCTCAAGTTCTGCCCTGAACCCTAGATGCTAACAACTTGTTTTGTGAAAAGTCTGACGACGGCCACAGCGTGGGCCCACTTGTGCGCATATACACTTGGCACTACCATTGATCATTGTCACGATCAATTAGCGCTACCACTGTTGCCATCTTCATTGCAAGCTGCTAGAAACACAACTACCACTGCCAGCATGGCGCTGAAGACCATCACCATCATGACCACTTCTATCAACACCACCACCAAGACCACCGTCGTCGTCATGATCAAGATCAAGATCGCCATGATCCGCCACCGCCATCATCATTGCCATCATCATCTACAACATCAGCATCAGCATGACCACCATCGCCGGCATGATTACTGCTACCACCACCACCACCACCACCACCATCGCCAGCATCCTCGCGGCCCCACATGCTGCTTGCTGCCTTTCTCTCTCCCACGAACATGTCTTGTCGGTCGTGCCTGATAAACTTATGGCTGTTGTTGTCTCCACAGTGATACGATAGTGATGGTAAAGGTGACGAGGACTATAACGAGGGCTACAACGAAGAGGTCAATGAAGAGGAATAACATGATGATAGCTGGCGGAGATGCTGATGACGATGACGATGATGATGATGATGGTGATGGTGATGATGATGGTGGTGATGATGATGATAATGATGATGATGATGACGACGACGACCATGCTGCAACTGCAACTACCACGACAACTACTACTACTACTACTACTACTACTACTGCTGCTACTGCTACTGGTTAACCCTCTACTGCTGCTGCTGCTGCTGCTGCTCCTACTTCTCCTACTATTAATCCTGCTCCTGCTCCTTCTCCAACTGTGCTACTGCTGCTGCTACTTTACTATCACCCTACCACCGCCATTCGGAAGCCTCCAAACCCTGCTGCAACAATTCCAACATCAAACGCAACCCTGCAATCAGTTTATAGGATCCTTGCCAGAGCGGGGTTCCGGAGAACATGGCCCAATGGTCCCCGAGTCTCTCGAGAGCTCCCGTAGGTGCCCTAGTAGCCCCTCCCCTTTAGAACCAGCTCTTCTAAAGATCCCATAATTTCATGGATGCACAGCAACAGACACGATGATACTCCGCATCTTTGCGATCGGGACCCACGAGTGAAAACGGCAGCAACAAGAACGACGACGAGAGCACTCCTGATCATACTTAACAGCTTACATGATGACGAGGAGAAGCACGATGCCACTGCTGATGATGACAAGCATAGCTGATACTGCGGAACGTGATGCTTCTGGTACAAGTAACAAAAGACCTGACAGACAACAGTACCAGTGCTCAAGATGAGACGAACAAAACCACACGGCAACCGCCTGGTAAGCATGGTTATAGCAGCATAAACGGTCATAAACGGCAGATCTGTAGAATAGTCATGGCAACAAGAAATTCTCAACGCATTGCCCCCTGACCGAAAGTAACCATAAATCGGAAAGCCCTTCACCGGACCTCGGAGAGATCATCGCTCTTGCCGGTGCCGGCCTTGTCTTCTACCGATTGAAGTGGAACTGAAAGGCCCTCTCTGATTCATCTAGAATCCAGATCTATGTGTGCAACAGGGTGTGTGTATATCGATTTATGAATTCATCTATTTAGTTATGTATTCATTATTTATACTTCGACTTAGATATATATATATATAGACAGAGAGAAACACATATATATATATATATGTATACAGACAGATATATCTATATATAAATATATGATTCTTGATTCATTGAACTGTTTATTTCTGTATTTACTTAACGGTTTATTCATGTATACCAATCTAAATATATATATATATATACACACACAAACCTGCGGCTGCATGCAAATACATACACGTACATAATAACAGACACAGAGAGAGAGAGAGAGACCTACACAGATGGGTGTGTTTGTATTGACATGTTTATGTATCTCGGGGCTTGCTCAACACTCGGCTTGTTTCAGGGCGGTCCGTGGCTTCTTTGTCGTGCTCACAATTGACGTCGGGCCGTCCCCGCCCCGAGCCACCTCCCAAACTATGCTTTGAATTCCTTGGTATATGTGTATAATAACAAACAAGCAGGTTTGAGGACAGCTGCATGACAACTTTTTCTTCAGGTGTTCGAAGGGGTATTTGGCCAGTCGACGAGGACGGGCAATTTTGGTCTTAGGGGCTCGGGAGTTAGACGGCTCACCACAGCACAGGCTGCTGCGCGAGTTTCTGCGATGGAATAAATCACAAAAGGACCGCTTCAACAACATGTCGGATCTTCTGTCCTTACATCACAAGACTGAAAGGATGAACCCTGAACATCCCGGAACCCTCCTGGCACTTCCTGCAGGCATTTCTTACATGGCCACCCACCCGAGGGCACGCCTACACTGCGGAACAACAAGGTGGATGTCAGGACGCGAAGCTGGTATCTAATGCGCTGATATCTGCAAATTCGAGTTGGGGCCGGAAGTATGTTTGTACAGTACCCAGCAGCGACAGATTGTGTAAGCACCTGCAGCTGCTGCTGATTTTCCCGCAACTCTTCCCTCCCTGCATTGCTTTGGCTGTCACTGCGTTTCGGTGCCTTCGGTGTCTCATCTACCAAGTAATCTACCGATCTTTCTGTGCACCCATCCCACTTCTTGCAGTCTGGTATGACAGTCGAGAAACACGCAAGACAGGCAGTTACCCAGCACTTGTTTTGAAAGCCTCCCGCAGCCTTCGGCAGTCTGTGCGAATGTACATCCTACAACGCCTGCGGCCTACTAGGATGGCAGTCTTCTGAGATCTGCTCAGCAAGTGTCTTGTGCACTGACATCTGTGCAAAAGGCAACAGGTCAAGAATGCTTCTTCTGTAGGTATCCTGGTTAGTGAAAGCCAGGCTTGACTGGACATATACTATTGCGATCATATTGTCATTACGGATAGCATTACCAATCACATCAGCCTTTCAAACATACATTGATGCCACAACTGACAAGTAATTCTAGATCTTTTGAAGGCACGAGCTTGGCCTGCTGCTTGCGGCGGACAATACGCTGACCTTGGGCCAAGATAAAGATATTCACGTACGTTAGTCTTTGTAAAATCAACACACGGTCACAGACACATGTGGAATATGCGTTTTTGTTTAACGGTACGTGTCTCCGTGTCTACATCTATCAGCACGTATCTGCTATGCATGTCTGCTGTAAACTTCGGATGCTGCGCTTTGCCTTTGGCAAAGCCTGGGATGCCAGCGCAGCATTCCTTCTGGAAGTCGTGCGCCCAACTTCATCGCATCCGTTTGTTGGCCCCCCCCCCCCCCCGCCTCCGTGGCTGCGAATTTTTATAGGTTCCCTCATGAGCCAAGCAAACTTGGGGCTTACCGGTCTCCATGTTAGGGTTGAGGATTTAGGGTCCAGGGTGACTAGAGTCTAGGCCTAGTCTGGGTTCGGATCATGAGAGTGACCGATCCAGGAGTTTGAAGGCTGGCAGTCCGAGTACGAGGCTCCATACACACACGACCGGGTCGCACCGACGGAGGGGCGGGCGGGGGCCAACTTTAATAACATCTTTTTTTGAAAATGCCGAAGCTCCACTTCCGGATCAGCCGATGGTGAGCTCCACACCTTGACCACGAGGGGTTTCTCCGTCCACCCCACAGCTCTGGATTCTCAAACACTCGCAAGCCCTAAAAGCATAAACATACAAGCCGCAGAGCTCAAGCATCGCAGCGGCTTGTACGACGAGAAAGATTCAACGGCGTTTACAGTTTTTGGTTTTGCACGTCGGCTTCACGGTTCGGGGCTATTTCCATCTGTTTCCTCTGAAGTCCCGTCTAAGCAGAAACGGTTTGAGGCACTGGATCGCCACTATTTTAGGACTGCCCATCCGCCCCTTCTTGGGAAGAGATGTGAACAAGACTTCCCGAGGCCTGCAATCATCTTGTCGATGATCTCGCGATCACGCGGACTTCGCGCCAGGTAACTGCCCATCTCCTGGTTATGGGAGCACTGCTACTGCCATTGCGGCTCCTACTGCTCCTACTACTTCCACTGCTCCTGCTACTTTTAGCAGGAGAAGCGGCATGGCTGCAACTTCTGAGATTTTTCTTCGGCCAGGGCCAGGGTATGGGAGCCTGAGGTATAGGGTTTCGGATTTACGGATTTGGGGCCGTTGATCCCGGCACACCAGCGCCAAAGAGAAAAGCCCAATTCTTCGCAACCAACAGGAATAAATCCAAGCCAAATCGAGTACAACCCGAATTCCAACTCTTGAAGCTCCAAGCCCAAACCATGTCCCACCCGCCTGACGCCCCCAGCCAGCTCTCTCAGCAGCACTCTGGGGAAGAAGCTCGCGCTGCCTCGAAAAAGTTACAAATCCAATTCGAAGCCACCCTCCCTCAACCCTGTAGATCTGAAGCACTCTAACGAAGCCGCACAAACCCTCAAGACGAATCCTATAGAAAAACAGTCGTTCGCCTGCCCAGAAGCAGGCCGCTCCGTCGTCCCGCTGCACCTCGCGCCAACCACTCGGCTTAGAGGCGATTAAAAGAATAGCTCAGCAGTTAGGGGCTCCTAGGGCTTTTACATAACATATATATATATATATAGATATATATATGTATACATGAACTTATATATATATATATATATATACATATGTGTGTGTGGTAATCTATATATATATATACATGTATAATGTATACAGTATACAGTCAAGTTGGAACCCCGAATCCCAGGCCGTCAGCCCCAAAGGCGGGAAAGGTGATTGAAACCTCGACCAAGCCTGCAGAGCCGAGCAGCACAGACGTCTCATGTCTTAGATCATTCATACAGATAGAAAGAAAAAAGAGTAATATGGGTGTTGATGTATACATATACATAAGATACATGTTTCATTTGATGCGATGGAGTCTATCAAAGACGCACGCCTAGCAAGAAATAAATTCAAAAGGACATAGCATACACATACACATACACATACACATACACATACACATACACATACACGTATACGTATACATACACATACATACATACACACATACATACATACATACATACATACATACATACATACATACATACAGGCTTACATACATATACCTACCTATACCTTATATCCATTTTTATCCCGGCAGCTCCCTCAACGCTTAACTTTCAACCCGCCAGGTTTGGGGTTCCCGTGGAACCTTCGAAATCTCGTAGCCGCTGCTCTCGATTCTCAGCTGAGTGCTCCTGGGCATTCGAGTCAGGCTAGGGCTGCGCGGCTTTCTTTTTAAGGGTTCTAGGGTGTGGGGTGTTAGCGCTTAGGCCGTAAACTTTAGGGTGTAGGGCTCAGGGCTGGGATTGTATGACATGATTTGGGGCTTCTCAACTCCAGGATTGCATTGCAAGTATTGCCGGTCGCCCTGAAACTGCTCACCCCAAAACCCTCAAGCCTTACACACGGGCTTCTGGATTCGGACCGGGAGTCGGGCCGGGAGTGATGATCCAAAGTGTGCTGACATGGAGGTTTCTGGCTTCGGGCCTCTCGGCTAGGCCCTAAACCCTAAACCCTAAACCCTAAACCCTAAACCCTAAACCCTAAACCCTGCTTTCCTCCAGCTGGGAGAAGTTGGCCACAGGTGCCGGGCGGATGCCCTCCTCGCTAGGGGAGATGGATGTGGTCTCAACAACGCTTTAGCAGGTGATTCATCGGCAGTCTTGTCGAGACAACTAGCTAGATTGTCTGCATACACGTCTGTCCATTGAACTTCTCGTCCATGTTAACTTATCATCCATGTCTCCATTTATCTATTTGCTGGAATTAACACTGCGTTATGGACTAAACCGAACATTTAAACTTACAGTCTGCGCACACGCACAGCAAAAGACGTCATGAATACTTCTCTCTGTTACCTGCAAGCAGATTCGCCCCGTTGTCAAGGCGTTCGGAACCGAAGATATATGTTCCCTGATATGACAGACCTGAATCCCACATCCGGGCAAACACGAGACCCGAGGATCAGGGCATCGGAGTCCTGCCGCGGCGATCCTCGGGACAACCACTCTCAGACAAAGGCTCAGAGACTGAGATCCTCGCAATCCGGCGACTTCCCTGGTGATGCGTACTGTGCTTGATGGGCTTGATGCCAAGCTTCTTTCACGGACTCTGCGTTTCATCATCTGTCTGTGCCTACGAACCGTGTGAGAAGGACATCATTGCAAAAGACTCGGTTCCACAGTTCCCTCCTCTTGCAAGTCAGGTGACGCCAAGCACTTTTGCAACCGGCTGCGCCATCGTAAAGCTGCTCGCCAAGCGCCTGGCTCAGTTTCCCGGGGCCGTTCCCGTCTTCGACTGCACAACTCTCATAATTACCATTGCAAGTCCTTCCCACCATGATGATAACCTGCATGCTTGATAGCCCAGCTCTCGCCGGCGCAGGGGATCTAAAGGTCCAGAGATTAAGCCTTCTCTGGCCAACGGCCCAATCGATTCGAGCCTGAAGACCCAAAACACTGAGGTCTAATCTTTATGCGGCCTCCTGTGTCGGGTCGGCGAGAGGGTGGCCCTCCGGAGCGTTGAGATGCTCGGGGCCGCCTGAGATGCAGCGGTAAGAAAAAAACTTCAGTCCCGGTGTTCTGACAAAAGAGAACTCGAGGGCACAGCTTCGGGGACACCCTACAGTACACTGCAGGATCGCCGGCTCCCGGCAGACCCACCTGAGACCGGGTCTCAGCCCAGAAAGATGCAAAAGAGCCGCCCACAGCAATCCGCTTTCGACCACCTGGTCAGCAGACTGCGGTCTCACGGACCTTTGTGATGCATTTCGACCCCAGGGCCGATTTCAAGCCTTAGGCCGTAGGTGCAGACTTTCTCTTGCGATGGCCGGGAGCGACAAGCCCCGTCAACTTCCTGAAGCAGGATCCCATAAACCCCAAACAGAAAACTCTTTCCGTAGACTCTTATCCCATCCTATCCCCAAATCACGCAGCCAAAAAAAACTCCTCTTCATCAAAGCCCCAACAGCATTCCTTGTCCACAGAAGCCTAAGAAGCTGATGCCCGCTTTCTTTCTCTCGATGCCTCCCTCCCGATGCTCTCCCCGGTCGCTGGCGATGCCAAAGGCGCCGTCGAAGGCCCTCCGCTGCCGCAGCTCTGCCTTTCGATTCAGTTTGGATCTGCGTCGGCGTGCAAGAAGAAAGTTTCGGGTGGCGGGGATTTAAGGCTATTATGAGGCTATGAATTCGAGGCCTTTAGGGTTTCCAGGCTTTGCAGGCCTTACCGGCTTTATAGGCTTTGGGGCATCTGGGGAGATTAAGCGTGAATGGGGCTGGTAAGGCTTGTGGGGCATCTTCGCCGGAAGGTTAGTCAAATTGCTTAGAGCCTTAGAGCCTTGACCCATCAAGAAAGACATCGGCAAGAAAAGCCGGCACCTGTGCACGATGCTGTTCCCAGCTGCGCTGCTCCTCCTGCCTCGGACCGGCAGTGTGCACGCATGTCGTGCACGAAGCTTTCTTGCCATCTTCTCATCTTACCGCTAAACTGGCTTGCTATCAGCACTAGTTGACGCATGGCTGTTCTGATCTGCCTTTTGCCTTCTGTCAAACCCATTTGCGTGCCCATGCGCCCGAAACCCCGAGTCGTGAACCCCTGCATCCTCTTCCGGTAAGTCAGTGGGCGTCGATTGGCATTAGCACACCTCTTCTCACCACGGTACTTGAACTGCTCGTGCTTGTGGATCAGCTCCAGGTATCCCAGCTTGGGCGGAGGCTCGTAGACCTGTCGCTCCACATCGTCAAACAGGTCTTAGGCCTGCAGGCCCTGGAGTCTCTCGTTCACCCCAAGAAAAACGACACAACAAACCCGAAACGGACCGGAAAAAGTGTTTAAGGTTCACGCTTCAAGGCTGCACGAAGGCTTCGCGTGTGGGACTGCCTGCTAGTTTGCTTTTTGTGTGGACGCTGACCGGAGTCGAAGGGCTCGCAGAAGCTGCTTTCCGAAACAGCCTCGCACTGGGAACCGTTCCGAACCGTCACATTGATCTATTTGAATGTGCTCTGCCACGTTTCCTGGAAGTTCGCAGCTTGATCAGCCACCATCTCGCCGAATCCACGGGATTTAGCATTAGTGATATAATCATAGTCCACGAAAGTCCCTGTATAATGATACTATAACCACCCGAACCATATTCCAATCACCCTAAACTCTAAACCCTAAACTAAACCCCAAACCCTAAAGGCGGCCCCAAGAATCCCAGAACAACTCGACGCCTGTGGGGCAACTTCCTTGGTGCTCTCGTGGTAGCGCCAGATCACCGGGCGAGAGATGCCTCCGGCGGCGCCTCTCCAAGTAATAAAAAGGGGCCTTAAGACTCAGAATAAGGCTTTGGGGATGGTATACTATAATTATAGTAAGGAGCCCCCAAAACCCTATTCTATGTATTAAGGCCCCTACATTAGTTCGGAATGTCTTCAAACCTTCGAGCTGAGGGCTTGGTCGGTTTGGTCTGGTGTTGGTGCTCTTGACAAGGAAGGCTCAAAGAGGCTGTGGCCGATACGCAGGCGATTGATGTTTGAATCGGGGCCACGCCGCAGGAAAAGCCTCCACAAGACCACCCGCCAGAAAAGCAGCCACAACTGGAGCGCATTCCCAGATTCGAGGCTCCAAATCACGACTATCATGTCACTCTTTGCCTTCATTGTTAAGTAGGCTTATGTTCTACCACCTAGCCACTACCGGCATCATGGACTGACGTAGACCTGTTTACAAGTTAAAGCGCTAGAGATAGAAAGACTGGACCCACGAACGACAAGAAACACAAAATCCGAGGCCTTCTTCCAGCTTCGGCCGCGAGGCGCGGCGGGGGAATCGCGGGCCGATGTCGGTGCCCTGTCGCTCCAATGAGGGCTTCGGGGATCTTGCTGTTTTGGGTTTGAAGTTTGGGGGGCAAGTCCTGCAGCACTAGACCAAGCTTCACCATGCTGCTGGATGGCTTGTGATCATGATGAGTACTGGTGGTCTGGCAGCATGGCACTCACGACTCAATCCTAAGCCGGCATCGATCTATGGCAGCTGGAGGATCATGACCTTACGCTGCGAATAAACCGCAACCCTCAATCGAGAATATCGAGAAGCCCCAACCCGAAGCACCAGCCCTGGATGTTGAGCTCAAAACCCCGAGCCTGGATGATGCCACCCACCATGGTGGTGTCCAGAGCCTCGGGGCCCCTGCAGGTGCTCACGTCTGAAGGATTCTGAACGCTTCCCAGAACTTCAGATTCAGGACTCAAAAATCTCAGATCCATAGCCTCCGAAAGCAGGAGCCCACGAATGCCCGTGACCCGGAGAACCAAAGGGCCACTGTATGTCCCTGAAAGGGATCTAGGGTTTCTATAGGCGAAAGATGCTCTGATGCTCTGAAAGGGCCTCGGGAGCGAGAAATGCCCTGCTGCGCCCTCGAAGCGCTTGAGTCGCTCGGGACGGCGATTTAGCAGCGCCTCTGCGACGCTGGGCCGAAAGAGCTGGAAGAAGGGGGGGGGGGGGGGGGGAATTCGTCGTGTCTCTGAATTCCTCCCTCCTTTACAAGTGGGCGTCGTGTGATATCTCTTCTGCTGTCCAGATTCTTTAAGAACTCTGTAAGGATTCTCGAGCAACGAGGTATACCAAAGGAACGCACGGCATATTCCACGGCTGGCTGCCATTGTCATCTTTATGCGACCTGTTCTGGTCGTCACGTCCGCCTCGGTCTCGATCGCCCTGGCTCCGGACTTCGCTCCAGCTGCTTCTTGGAAGAGCTTGGCGTACCTGGGTGCAGTCAAGCAGTCGAGGCTTTGCAGCAGTCGTAAAGCACGACAAGCGGCAGCTGTAACGGCTGTACAGAAACCCTAGCATCCCGCGGCTCACCCGAGAACCTCTACACGGCAACGAGGCACTCAGGGTTCGCGGTAGGATCGGAGCTTGTGCCCCAGACACGCTTCCCATGGTGGCCATCCCACATGGAAGCCCAAGGATTACAAGTGGGAATTTGGACTCGGTTCACCGCTGATTCATGCTGTGCTCTGTGCGTGCCACACCTAGATGCGTCAACCTCAATCCCAGATGGTCTAAATGAGATTTCCTGGCCAGGGACCTTGTAGAGTGGATTTGATCCGAAAGGCTGAGGTAGCGGTGCGGTGCTTCCTTGTCAGTCCGCATTCCTGTTCAAGGCCTTCGAAGAGAGTCGTTTCGTCCGAACTGCTTCTTGAAGGGAGCATGGCATGGATTCGTGGATGGACCCCTTGTTGTTCAGGACGGACGACACCAGCATGTTACACAGCATGTTTTTTAGAAGGAAGCTGCCTGGAACACACTCCAGGCCCGGAGCATCGTGGAGGGCAATGTCGCTCTGAAGAAACCTGCTGCCACAATCGGGTCCCGTTCGGTCAGCACCGGCGCACTGAAAGAATCAGCTCATGTTCGCAGAGCTGCGGAGTTCTACCAGTAGCGTCTCCGAAACTGCCCAAGTCCAAGTCACCGTGTCACGCCGTGCATGGTGTCCGCATGCACCGGCTGCGCTACGGCACCTTCGCAGGTCGAGGTGTCTGCAGAACTTTCGCGATGAGTCCCAAGTTCTTCGGTCCAATGCGCGGGAGACACAGGTCAAGCACGAATCTTGGGGTTGCATCATAGGTGAAAGCGAGCGAGATCTCCAACCTCGGCCCTCGGGCTGGCTGGCCTGGGGTCGACCTACCCTGCGCAAACTCCCTGTCAAGCGAAACGATATCAACTTTTTGGATACGTACCCACTTTCATGTGTTTGTGCTCCCATGAATGCAAAGCTTGTTGGGATCACTGTCTTAAGAGGCAAGGCTTCAGAGCGCTTTGTTGATTCAGATGCCTGGCGACCGATTAGTTCACGCCCCGTTTGCCTGACCTTGCCTGGATACTTGCGGGCCTACCTAACGAAGCAGTTCGGCTGAACCTGTGTAAACTGCATGACCAGAAGGTCATTCCAATCAAGCCAAATAGCTGGTCTGCTGTCCATCTATGTTAGTGCGGCAGAATCCGATACCTTAGAAAACCGTCCCTCGCTCAAGCATAAACTTCTGCTGCTTCTGGTACATGTCGGGTTCCCTAGAGCTCCTTCTGCTTCGAACTCCCATTGTCGCACTTTGATCGCTGTTTGCGGGGGCCTCATTTCGCATTTGTAGACTGTCTTGACTTTGTTGCACGACATAAGACAGGAGATTGACCCAAGGCTGTAGAGTTCTGCCCTAATATATTATCGACTCCGGCAAACTGCGTTGCCCAAGACCCCCAATGATCGTCACGGCTGCAAATTCCACGCTTACGGGCCTTTGCTGCTGCTGATGGCAGCCAGCTCGACCTGCAGCTGATGGGAACAGTGACCATGATTATCATCACCACAGCACAGATGGTTTCTGCACCATACGAGTCTCGACTGTTGCTGATGAAGGTATTCAACCCGTTCTGAACTGCAGGTGCCGCTGCTGCAGTACGATAACCACCCCGGAATGGACGAGATAGGACGACAGCAAGGGACTGGGTCCATCGCCCTCGTTTGCCTGAGTTTGCTTGTTAACAATGTGCGAAAAGCACGGCAAGATCGGCATTTTCGGCTCTTAACATGGCTTAACAT